ACATTTATGTGTTTGCATTGACAGTATGAACGTAAATAAACAATGAATATTTTATTTAATGTATTTCTTCTCTAAATAAACTTTAACTTTACGAAATCTTACACTATACAATGCGTGCAATATGCTTAAAAAGAGCACAAAGTTTTCCCTTCTTGTATCAATATATAGATTTAATTTATATATTGATACTAGATTATGCTCTGTTTTTGCATCACCAAACAACACAACTTTCCGTTCTCTACGAGCCTGTCCATCCATAGGTTGTCTGGAAGAAATCACTTTCAGCGATAAAACCGTTGTAACGATTTCGTTGTGATCGTCGTAGCGATTTTTGTTGTTACTAGGAATGCGTTGCTGCCTGTCTCCTGGTTTGTTTCCTTCTGACGTCTCTTACGACACACACAGGACCATATAGAATAGTGGAAAGTTATCGTGTTGATAGTTGATAGATATGACCCTCCATGTGGACTTATAAATATAAATCTACACTATAAGCCACTAAAACCATTTTTTTTAATATAAAAATAGCAATTAATCGATTTAAAAAAAAATAATAAGTTAAACAATCAATTCAACAAAATGTTGAAATGCAGAGAATGGCTGCTTACAAGTACTGTTGAATCTAGCAGCTTCCAACAGTAATTGTTTGTCGAAAATGTGTCAGGAGGACATCATCAGTCCACAGTGGGAAAAGAGGCTTTCTCTGCATTTGCCTTTTAGGCAGACGGATTGGGGGGTAGCAGTATCGAACGTTTTGCATATTTTTACGCTGCTCTCCGCCACCGGTCTTGATACACATTTTTGGGAAATTACCCATTATTTTCGGATAGCACAAGATTGTTTGTCGTTTAATATTGTGTTTCACATCATATTATAAGAAAATCGATCAACCAATCAATAAACCTTTTATCCTGGACATTTTTCGTTGGTTGTCTAAATTATTGCGGTGTTTGCAGAATGTCTCTCAGTTGACTGTGCCTCTTGGTATTGGCCTCCTTTAACATCCTCCATTGCCTTATACCGCGACAATACGGTCGATTAATTTTTATCTAACTAAACTAAATCAATTAAAGTACCGAAACTGGATACAAGAAGCAGTATCAAATACACTAGCTATAAGGCTATATGCTCGAAGAATCGACAACCGATGGGGGAGAAAGGTTCTCGAGTGGCAGCCTCGTATCGGCAAGCGAAGTGTATGGCGACCCTCCCAATAAATGACCAGAGATGCAGGTAGTCAATGGATGAAAGTTGTTCAGGACTGTGCTTTGTGGTATTCCTTAGGGGAGGCCTATGATCCACAATGGACTTGTGACCATCTGTAATGATGATGATGATGATGACCTATATTACAATATTAGTGTATGAATTAAGAAAATGAGAACAAACGTGATGGTTGCAGTTTATACAATAAAACAATTAAATAATTACTAATGTATGTACGAGTATAATATTAATAGTAAACAATCGACCCGATTTATTTCGACATCAAACCAAAAACAACTGTGACAGAAGTCACATTGTTAAATAAATTTTCAACGAAATGGGATCGTTGGTCGCTCGGTTAAGTCGTTTTCTTGTTGATGAGATTTTTAACGAGCGGAAAGGGCATAACGGTCGGAAGCGCAATTTTCATTTAAATTTTCTCGACATCCGAATGCATCAATTGAGCGTATAATTACTTTATCATGAACTGAGAAGGGTAATCGGGGTACTTTGCTTGAGGATGTTTTAGTGCAGTTCTAAAAATATCTGCTCCGTAAAATTTGTTAAAGAAAATATTCGTTTCATCATTATTTATTTCTCTGAAATAGCTGTCAGTTTATTTTACTAGAATCGTAACTATCGGAATGTAAGAGCGTCGGAGTGACGTAGTAAGAATGTACACTATCCTATACCATGCCTCGGGTGGTCTAATAGGCTATAGAAGGAAACAAATCAGGAGATGGGCAGCAGCGTATTCCTAATAACGACTAAGAATAACAACTGCGGTTGCCAACCCGCTTGCCAAGCAAATCTGGCAAATATCCCTCTATGAGTCAATTTATTGGAGAGGCCTATGTTTAGCAGTGGACTTTAGTAGGCTGGAACGGTAAAGGTAACGTAACAATCAATAAAAAAACCGCCCAAGTGAGAGTCGGACTCGTGCATCGAGAGTTCCGAATAAATCCGTAGGTATATAAGTTTAATATTATTAAAAATATTTTTATTATATGATGTAACTAAAAATTTATGCTTTTCGCAATTTTTCCTTTATCTGTGCCATAAAACGTTGCTTCATACCAAATTTTAAGATTCTGAGATCACGGGAATTACCCTATAGTTAATAAATACCCTAAGTTTTGATTCCCTTGCGAATGTCGAAAATTTGCGGCATAAACGGCTGTATCTTTTGATTGCGTCGGCTTAGAGGTTTGATTTTTTCACAGCTCCAAGGGACAGTAGACTTGAGAATTTGATATGAATTTCAGCTTGATACCTCCACGCGTTCCTGAGAAAAAGGGTCTTGACAGACAGACAGACGGACAACAAAGTGATCCTATAAGGGTTCCGTTTTTTTCCTTTTGAGGTACGGAACCCTAAAAATCAGTAATAACGGTAACGTTTAACTGAGCCGGCAATTCTGCCGCTTCCGATACAGAACAAAAATAAAGAAAATATTATACCAAGTAATATCTAAGATATATTAAATGTACGACAGCTAATCTATAAGGCAATCCTTAAATGACACGTTAAATGTAACGTGTAACGTGTTATATTATGCAAGTTGTAGTGGCGGCGTAAATGAATGCAGTACCCCATATCTTATCGAGGGTGTTGGAGGAGGCGATAGAAGGGAATAAAACAGGAGATGAACAGTAGCATCTTCTAGATAACAACTCAAAATAACAAAGAAATGTGGTTTCCAATGTGAACACAGAGCGTGGCGGTTATGTGGACTTTTTATGTAAGAGAAGCAAACGAGCATGCGGCTCACCTGATAGTAAGTGAAGCACTATATTTAGTAGTGTTGTTGATGTTGATATATGAACACGTGTGCTAGGAGCTGAAGGAAGGTACGTAGGTAGCTCAGAGACCAAGCGTATTATGTACTGATAAATTTCACTGTACACGGCAACCCAAAACCCAGTTGGCGTAGCTGTAATAGTTTAATATCGCAATTGTAAGTGCTAATCTATTACGTGTTCGGTGATGAATGAAAACATCATAAGTAAACCTTACAGAACGAGCATCGCAACGACCTACTTGCACCATTATCCTTTTAGAAATTAGTGGAGACCTGTGCTTTTTTTTGCGCCCAGAAGCAACTGAAAAGGGCTACCCTCCGGAAAGCGAGGAAGGGAGGTGGTGAATGCTCTAAGCATACCAGTCGGCTGTCGTTGTTATGTGGGACTCACTGCGACTAACCTAACCTAACCTAAGTGCCTACCCACTAAACACCACCTGTGAGACTGGCATTGGCTTTTGAGGCCTTTCTGCTGAATCGGAATCAACTCTCTTTAGGAAAAAGGGGGCGCAGGAGACTTGTGCCCAGCAGTGAGACTTATATAGACTTCACGTTATATACTATCAACTAAACTTTTACTATAACTAAACAGTTTGCATTTAATTTTAGAAAACATTAAAATTTTGTAACCGAGAGTGTACTACGAGTGTAGATTCTGAAGCATTTATATTTTTCCAGAAGAGCCTGTTTTTCAGAAACATAATCAGCGTTTTAAACGTAGTAGAGCCATGCTGCAGCTATATTAATAGTATAGTTGTAACACGAATGGGTCAACTCGACGACCATAGGGCCACGCTCTTACAGATACCAGCGTAAAATAGCAGCTTAATGCTGCTGTGTTTCGTATGGTGAGTGTAGCGAAGCGGAGACCCTTTTCACTGGAAAAGACCCATCCCATCTTAGCCATCGCGGCTGACAACGCATCTGCTTTTTGATTCGCAAACGACGATAGATATTATAGAAGTCTATGGGCCGCAGCAACCTCTTACCATCAGGTGGACTGTGTGCTCGCTTGTCACCGTTATCCTATTAAAAAAGCAATTCCTTGAAAAATTTTTGGTTGATCGAATCTTTTTAAACAGATTTAAATTATTATTTACTTTCTTATTAAACATACTAGCAAGCCCCTTGGCTTCGCCTGGATATGATCTATTAATCTCTGTATTAATGTGGTGCTATTTAGATTTAGGATAATGAAAAACTACTTATTTTATAAATTACGTTTTTTCAGAAAAATATAGCCCAGGTCCTTCCTGGCTTTGCTCTCTATCTGTTCGTAAAGTTTCATCACAATCACAACCGGTTCAGCTATTCCGAAGATAAGCCCAGACAGACAAGGAACAATAAATTTAAAAATATTTGTTCACGTGGCATGGCATGCAAATAACTCCCTCAGCTAGATATAAAAGGCAGTTACTTCGATATTACAGACAGACACTTCATGTCTCTGTATGTATGTATAAGTAATATCAGTATTGGTTCAAATGAAACGAATAAAGTAACTTTACATCTTTATTGATCCTTAAAACTATTTATACAGTTATTACTAAGGTAACTATTGCTTATTTACCCACTACGTTGACTATGGACAAGAACGTCCGTTGAACCAAAGGCTCAGAGGTTTTTGTAAAACAAAGAGTTAGAAGAAAGAGTTAGAAATAAAGGTAAAGGAGGTCATAAGGCAGTGATCGTTCAATCTTAAACTACACATTTTAGGCAACAATTACTCGAATTAACTGTCGTAGAAATGATTTTTTTTACGATTAATTAAAATAAATAATTTTTGAAGTTTGAAAAAAAAAACAATCATAATTTAAATTTACAAATCAGGTTGAAAGTATGTTCCATTACAGTTCCAATTCGTTGGAACATTTTTTTTGTTCGTCCGTTTTATAACAATATATATAACAATACAGAATTGAGAACAAAATTGGTTTCTAGCACACTAATCTGCTATCACAATACTTAATGGCGCCTAAGTGCAACGCCATCATCAATCTGTTCGCACTTCGCAAATGAAGTACGTCTCGAAGGAGCAAGGTGAGTCGTTCCACTTAAGACCTTTGTCGTCTCTGTTCCAAAGTTCTAAGCAGTTCTCTTCTTCGCCGTTTTCATATCGGAAATTGTTCGGCTCGCCCGCGTTCCAGTTGACGAAGGTGAGAGGTCTTCCGTTGGCCATCCAGAAGAAGCTACCCTCTTCAGCCAAGTCAGTGCCTGAAGTCCAGAAGTGTTCTCGACCGAAGCCTGTAAAGTAATCATTTGAATTACTTATCGTTAAAATGGGTTACTAAAACTTTAAATTAACATGGTTTATCAGTTCATCAGTTCTCATAGACGACGAATTTATAACCCGAGTGCAGGTGATACATTTTGATAAAGTATTGAAGTTGCTCTAAAATTTAGGACCTTTGAGGTAAAACCACGCTATCGAAGAATACTAGCGTTAAATCACAGCATAAACATCTCTTTAGCATTGTGGGTCACAAAAGCAGGATACCCTCAGTATTATACTTCTAAACATTTGATCTTGTTACTCAGGAGTGATAACGTATAGTTGTCTGTGGGGTACAGCATCCACTTACCATCAGGTAGTCAATGAATTCGTGTATCACTCTTAACACTGCAAACAAATAATAGACAGCTTGGCTATGCGCTTATAGTTTTTTTTTTACATTTAGGAATCTGTTAAAATTTAATAAGGCAAGAAATAAAAATTTACAATAAGTAATGCAACCATAATTTCAGTATATAGTCGGAAGATTATTTCGTAGGATCACCTGGTCTACATATAAATCCGTTTCTGTAGGTACCACCCTCTATTTCTGAGCATGCCACTAAATAACAGTGCATTCACTGTTTTCCAATTTGATAGGTTTCTCATTCCGACTTAGTCTTAAGGGTCATCATTGACCATGTTTTCTTAAAGTAGGTTGCAGTTCTGCATGGGGTGTAGTCACCAAATATAAACAGATGGACTGTAAGCTCTTTTGTTACTCCAATATTATTAAAAAACAATAAAGGACGCACGAGTTGGTGAAGACTCTACGTCTAGGTGGAGCTATTTTTTAAACTAGGAGGCCGTTTGGGTAACAAGGTAGTTCCAAACGAACCTTAGATTAAGAATGTTGCATAACAAGTATATTATATATAATAAAAATAATGTCCTCCAGACTGAATTTCGGTCACGGCGGTCAGTCTCAACGGAGACTAACCATCGGCGCAGGACAGGATTATAGTGCCCAAGTGTATGTGCAAGCACAGGTGCACTCTCTATTCCCTCACTCTCATAATCCGATGGGACGGTAAATCGACACGACTTGAGAGAGATTAGGTGCAGAACCAATGGCTTTACGTGCACGTGGCTGAGACACCGCCAACTTCCTGAGTCCAGGCAGCTACTGAGAATTTCTTGGCAGAAAAACTCAATAATTGATTTTTTTTGCCCGACCCGGGAATCGTACCCAGGACCTCATTATCAGCAGCCACACTACTACAACTACTAGACCGACAAGGCAGTCAATATATATATATATTATGGCAGAGGGTCAAACGAGCATACGGCTCACCTGATGGTAAGTGATTACCGCCACCCATGAACAACTGCAACACCAGGGGAATCGCAAATGCGTTGCCGGCCTTTTAGAAAGGAGTATGGACTCTTCTTGAAGGTCCCTTAAGCTTTTCTTAAGATATGTCAGTGTGCTTTTCCGTCTTTGGCAGCATCAACACTTAGTTTATAACACTTACAAAAGTAAAAATACCTATCTGCCTAATATAGACTAGAATTGTAATTTTTAAAGTCAGGAGCAATGGCTTAGTAGCCAGGCACTTTGACAAATACGACATGAGGTCATTAGTTTTTTATTTACGTAATAATAATAACAATTTATTCTTTAAATAGGTTTACTGTTGTTTTTTTAATTGTATTAGTTATAAAATATAACGTATTATAAAATCATCAATTAACCTATTTTAGTCATTATGAAATTTAAAAAAAAAGTAAAACAACTTACCCGAATCCTTTACATATTTCTCGAGCTTGTCATTCTCTTCTTGTGACGAAATGGAGGCGAGGTGCATACCATGGAATCGACAGTACTGTTGCGCTTTGAACCAGTTTGCCTGAAATGCAAAAGAAAATAAAACCATAAATGATGATATTTCTTATACTTCAGACACACATACAATGACAATGGGGGGGACATATAGCTAGAAGAACTGACAACCAAAGTGATAACCTCGTACAGGTAAGCAAAGTATGGGGCAGCCCCATTCTATATGTAAAAGATGCAGAAAGTCGATGGATACAGAGTGCTAAGACCGTGCATTGTGGCATTCCCTGGGGGAGGCCTATCTTCAGTAGAGAACTTGTGAGGGGCTCTAATGATGATGAAGGTGATGACTCACACAACGAGTATATGGATTTTTGAAAACAATTTTTTTAATTATAATTCTCTTCCTCATCTTTTGTATAAAGGCTCTCCAGTATAGATGTTTTATCTCACAAGGCGAGCGCTTCTTAATCCGCTGCTTAGTAAATGAAATATTCATTTTTTTTTACATCACCACGAACAATTTTTCTCCCTTTACTTTCCGTTCTGACGATACTCGATAATTTTTTTTTACTTTTGAGCCACACACTTTAAATCAATGTACACGTGCATAGTACAAGCTACAAGTAAGATCAACCTGCCAACTGGATACCGTGGGATAAAAATACTATTAAGATAAAGTTTGCCATAAACGACACGACACGCTTTACATCTAGAAAATGCATATTTGAGACATCTATTCTACAATCTATTGGAAGTTTTTTTTTATACGATAAGTGTGACAAACGAGCGCACAGTCCACCTGATGGTAAGTGGTTGTTGTGGCCCAAAGACATCTAAATTTGTCCTCGATCACGAATCAGAATGCAAATGCATCGTCACCTGTGAGGACCAAGATGGAATGCCTCGGTTCCAGTAAAAAGGGTCTCCGGTTCTCTACACTCACATACGAAACACAGCAGCGTTAAGCTGCTATTTTACGCTGGTATTCTGTGAGAGTGTGGTCTTTCCCCGGTCGAGTCGACCTATTCTTGATACAACTATACCACTAATATAGCTGCAGCATAGATCTACCACGTAAAGAAAGTCATGACTTTTTGTTATGATGATGATACTTCAATGAAGAATTAATGAAGCAAGAGTGACAAATCAGCACCTTACTCCACTGTGGACTTCATACGTTTACATATACTCTCGATAAAGAACCAAAATGCAGATGTGTCGTCACCCCGGAGGACTTAGAATGAGGTATGGGACACAGCGTTATGCTGCCATTCTGTGTGAATGTGGTTCTTCTCCGGACGATCCAACCCAATTGTGAGGTAGCTCCATTGAAGATTTAAATTTAAACGTGTCTTATTCACTATTCCGGCAAAACAAATATTTTCAGACACAGACAGGTATGTTCGATATTTTCACGAGTTTGTCATTAAACTATTTTCTACTACTAACTAATTTCTTCAAAAAGTTATTGGCGACAATTTTTAACCAGTAAAACAGGCTGCTAGATGTTGTTTTGTCCTTGTTTGTACTTATTTTAAAAATATTATATATTGTTTAAGCATCATTATTGCCTGATATATAAAAAGAGTTTTTTATTGCCATTCTTCAGTGCAGTAAATGCATGAAAGAACCATATAAGAAATTAGAAACTGGTTCAACATTTTACCCTTTGTGGCCTTTTACAACAGCCACGGGGTGATATTATGGGGTAGTGGATATTCATACACCGGTACTACACAGTACAAAGTAACGTGAATAGCCGAATGAATTATTTGTTTAAAAACGCTTGCGCGGCACTGAACGTAGATAGCACTTTGCAAAAACAAAACGGTAACGAAGTGTTTAGTGTGAATTAGGCATTCGTTTGTCATTAAAATCACATATTGTTGGTTCAAATGATAAACAAAGGCGTTGCAAATTTAAATTACATAGATATAGTCAAACTAGTTATCGAATGTCGGCTAGACATTTATTCATTAAATAACCTCTATATTACAAAATTTAAATATAAATTTAAATATTTAAAAGTGTTGACCTTTACGCGATTAAAAATTTTCAGTTTCTTTTTTTTTATAGTCAACAAACGACATTGCTATTTACAGGTTATTCAATGAACATATCGAATTCGAAATGGCAAATTTCCGCGACATTGCGTCAGCTCAAATATTTGTTTTGTCGTCAACTTGCACACGCGCCTAGTTTTATTTTTTTTAGCTTTATTATATCATCGAAGTCTCGTTATTCTAATAGGAAATAGAATATTACAAAAACTCTAAGTACGTTGTGATATAAAAATATCAGTGTTATTAAATGATTTCTTATATTTTTATGATTATTTTACACATTGCGTTACCTTTGAGCGTTTGCGTTGTGTACAAAATACACAAACAAAAGCTTATATACGTCCAATAGTGAACCCACCCACCTCGATTTACCAAATTATAATCTGGCTCCTACCATTTTGACAGCGCGATAAAATACATCTTCATCATCCTTTTTTAAGTACACTGCTGAACATAGGACTCCCCCAAAGAATGCCATAGAGCACGGTCCTGAGCCACCTGCACCCATCGACTTCTTGCATGTCTGACCAGGTCGTCACTCCATCTACATCTTGTTTACAAGGAAACTGTGGTAATTAATTGCATAAAGGTAAAGAACGCCCGAAGGCATCTTTTCCGTAATTTTAGACATTTGTTAGTTAACTGTAAACTGATTATAAATATTTAAAAATAAGCATAATTTGTTAGACTGCTTAGCAAAGAATATGGTAGTTAAGTAGCCGTGATCACTTTGATAATCAATTTTATTGACAAATAAAGCCTTAAACTTAATATAAAGTTATTGTAGGTAAATTGTTACAAGAGAATTTTATAGAATGTTAGCAAACCAAGTTCGATCACCGCCGACACCAATGACATTGGTAATTGGAATTTTAATGCTAATTAACCACGTACTCGGAGATAAATACACGTCAAACTAAAGCAGCATGTCTTTTTTTTTTATAGAATAAAGGTGACAAACAAGCACACAGTCCACCTGATGTTAAGTAGACATCTATGTTTATCCTCAGTTAAGAATCAAAATGCAGATGCGTTGTCATCTCTGAGTAGTAACTAAGATGGAATGCTCCGTTTCCAGTAAAAAGGGTCTCCGATTCCCCATACACACCATACAAAGCACGGCAGCATTACGTCTCTATTTTACGCTGGTACTTTGTGAGTGTGGTCCTTATCCGATCGAGCCGACCCATTCGTGTTACAAGCTTAATATAGCCGAAGCGTGGCTCTACCACGTATGTTTGGCGTAAGTGTAGTGGCAGATGCCGTGAACGGCCTCATAAGAGAATCCACTATTATATAACATCCCGTAGATCTTGTAAGAGGCAACAAAGGGCGATGAAACAAGAGAAGGATTTTTATTATTTTGAGAGGAGGGGGTAACAATGGCAAATATCCTCCCTCTAATGCAATCTATTTTTTGACGGCTCCGTGGCGCAGTGGCTTAGCAATGAGTTGCTGCGCTGGGGGCGCGGGTTTGAATCCCGCACGGAACAAGTATTTGTATGGCCTACAAATGATTGTTCCGGGTCTGGATGTTTGTCCTTGTGAAATTTGTGTTTGTAAACTGCCTCCACGATACAAGAGAAAATCCTAGTGTGGGGGTAACGTTTTTTAAAAAGAACAAAAAAAAAGAACAATCTATGGTGGATGCCTATTTTCAGCAGTGGATTTTAGATAGACTACGAATGAGAAAGAGTTGCGGTGCTGAAGACCGTGGCGTCGAATTCTGTAAGGAACAAGTATTTGTATGGCATACAAATAGTCAAATATTCCGGGTCAGGATGTTTGTCTTTGTGAAATTGAAAACTGCCCCCACGATACAGGAGAAAATTCTAGCGTGCAGGTAACGTTTACAAAAAAAATATCGTATAAAGTTGTATTCATCATCATCATTACAGCCTTTCACAAGTCCACTGCTGAACATAGGCCTCCCCCAAGGAATGCCACAAAGCACGGTCCTGAGCCACCTGCATCCATCGAATTCCTGCATGTCTTACCAGGTCGTCACTCCATCTCGTGGGGGATCGCCCTACACTTCGCCTAAGTTGTATTACTAGGTGATAATTATTAATTTCATAATTAATCATATATTAAATGATTCCCAGTGTTTTGTCGTTTCGGTAATGTTATAGTTAAGCGCTTAGTTGTGGTGCTACTGTAGACGGGTTCGAATCCCGCGTTGAACATTACTTATACACATAACTTGTAAGTTGGGATATTATATCTTTATATTATCTATTTTATTTATTTTAAAAGCCTCTACAATGCAGAAGAAATTCCTAGTGTGGGGTAACATTTTTTAAAGAATAAGAAGAAAGATTCAACGAATATCTTTTAAGGGAAAATATCGATCAAAAACCCATTAAACGATAAGTAATCGTATATTTGGTCACAACATTTGAAAAGGTCCTTTGGTTAGTATGTTAATAAACTTGGCATTGGGTACACATAGTCGTATCTCATTAATACTTGCTCATGTATGTTCCCTATTATACTTATGACACACAATTCGTTTATAATGAAATAGTGTCCAATGAAAGGCGCAAAAATAGAACATAACACATGAATGTATAAAGTACCTAAAACTTCATATGTACTGGTTTATTACATACTGAGTACAAACTAATTATTATTAGAGATCATATCTAAAAAATTAGGTATGCGGCATTTATATGACCTAAAAGTATAGAAATATTCATTAGAATAAGGTCCAAAACTAAACACAGTTTACATACCTAATTTAAAATTTGATTCAATTGCCTTCCTCTTAAGCGTTGACTTAATTAGACGAATGTATGTATTGTCAGGATACCGTTAACCTAATAAAGTCCACTGCTTAACATAGGCCTGCCCCATCGATTGCTTCATAGGGGGGATAATATTTGCCATAGTTGTCACGCTTGGCAAGCCGTTATTGATGATATGGAATAGTGGATATTCTTACACCACCACTACACAGTAATGTATTGTATAGTAATTTTTACTAATGAGGGCGTTCATGACT